TTAGGCAGGTGGCGAGGGCTGGCCCCGCAGGTGGCGAGGGCTGGCCCCGCAGGTGGCGAGGGCTAGCCCGGCAGGTGGCGAGGGCTGGCCCGGCAGGTGGCGAGGGCTGGCCCGGCAGGTGGCGAGGGCTGGCCCGGCAGGTGGCGAGGGCTGGCCCGGCAGGTGGCGAGGGCTGGCCCGGCAGGTGGCGAGGGCTGGCACGGCAGGTGGCGAGGGCTGGCCCCGCAGGTGGCGAGGGCTGGCCCCGCAGGTGGCGAGGGCTGGCCCCGCAGGTGGCGAGGGCTGGCCCCGCAGGTGGCGAGGGCTGGCCCCGCAGGTGGCGAGGGCTGGCCCCGCAGGTGGCGAGGGCTGGCCCCGCAGGTGGCGAGGGCTGGCCCAGCAGGTGGTGAGGGCTGGCCCCGCAGGTGGCGAGGGCTGGCCCCGCAGGTGGTGAGGGCTGGCCCCGCAGGTGGCGAGGGCTGGCCCCGCAGGTGGTGAGGGCTGGCCCCGCAGGTGGTGAGGGTTGGCCCCACAGGTGGTGAGGGCTGGCCCCACAGGTGGTGAGGGCTGGCCCCGCAGGTGGTGAGGGCTGGCCCCGCAGGTGGTGAGGGCTGGCCCCACAGGTGGTGAGGGCTGGCCCCACAGGTGGTGAGGGCTGGCCCCACAGGTGGTGAGGGCTGGCCCCACAGGTGGTGAGAGCTGGCCCCACAGGTGGTGAGGGCTGGCCCCGCAGGTGGTGAGGGCTGGCCCCACAGGTGGTGAGGGCTGGCCCCACAGGTGGTGAGGGCTGGCCCCACAGGTGGTGAGGGCTGGCCCCACAGGTGGTGAGGGCTGGCCCCGCAGGTGGCGAGGGCTGGCCCCGCTGGTGGTGAGGGCTGGCCCCACAGGTGGTGAGGGCTGGCCCCACAGGTGGTGAGGGCTGGCCCCGCAGGTGGCGAGGGCTGGCCCCGCTGGTGGTGAGGGCTGGCGCCACAAACACTGCCCGGAACATTCATCTGGGGGCAAGGGTCCGGCCCACCGTATACCGCTAATATGCTCAATAGTTATTGCCAATATACAGCAGTGACTGAGAGGCTGGACACTGTTGCTCCCAATACTGCGCGCGCACTTACTCCCCAGAATGTGCAGAGGCTCTCGATCGTTAGCTCCTGGGCCCCGCCTTACCAACTATCGCTTATTTAATGCAGTGATTTCCAATCCCCAGTTGTTTTCTGTATAATCTACTTCTGAAAGTATATATTGTATTAGCTTCATCTACCTGATCAATTCCCTTTGCTCATTACCAATACGATACAAACGTTCTTGCTGAAGTGTTAGGGCAGACATGATCATCACATACAAGATTCTCCAAGGAACTGATAGTCAATAAAGTTTATTTAACACAGGTGGTGCATGCACAAGGGGACACGGGTGAAAACTAGGTACTAAAAATGAGCCATAAAACATATTAGAAGAACCTTTTTTATTCTCAGAGTAGTTAAAAATGAAAAGCACTACACAGTGATGTGGTGGAGGCTGACTTCATACACAGTTCCAAATATAGATATGATAGAGCACAATAGGGTCAGGAATTTATAAACCAGTTGATTGACGGTTGAGAGGCGGATACAAAGAGCCGACGCTTAACCTCAGCAAGCTCCACTAGGTGAGTAGAGCAAGCAAGCAAGCAAGCAAGCAAGACAGAAAGCAAGATAGAGATAGAAACGTGAAGGTTGAGGGGCGCGGGAACAATAAGGAGGAGGAGGGTCACAAGACCCACATAAGCGGACACATGGCAGGAAGGCGACCTCGTAAAACCCCGCCATTATTGGAACGCTCATGACTCGTAAGGGTTCTAAATACTTTGTTTACGTCTCGCTAACAATTCCCGCGTCTTTTACTCTATTTTGAGGTCTTTTCTTGGTATTCTCGCTACACACTGACCATGTGTGTGTGTGTGTTAGTGTACAGTCAGTGTTAAGCCCGGTCAAACATATCAGGATATGGGTACATAGCATTACTGCCCACGAGAAATGTGTTAGTGCCCTCCCTCCCTCCCAGCATCAGCTCACACATTTGGAACAAACTACAGAGTAACATACAATTCGGGAGCGCTGGAGTGTTTCAAGCGTAGGTCATACATACATACGAGTTTGAGTGGATACAAATAAGAGCTGTCTCGAATGGACTAATATGTCTTCTCTTCCCGTTATTCTTATGTTCCTAACAATCTTGTTTAATTAAAAAATGTTGTCTGGTGCTCCCTGTCTTTATGAGCACGCTAAGCGGTCCCGAACTATAATCATAACTTGATGGTGAAACTACCCAGGTTATAGGGAGCCGGTGGCTGAGCAGACAGAACACTGGACGCGTGATCCTGTGGTCCCGGGTTCGATCCCGGGCGCCGGCGAGAAACAATGGGCAGAGTTTCTTTCACCCTGATGCCACTGTTACCAAGCAGTAAATAGGTACCTTAGTCAGTCAGCTGTCACGGGCTGCTTCCTGGGGGTGGAGGCCTGGTCGAGGACCGGGCCGCGGGGACAATAAGCCCCGAAATCATCTCAAGATAACCTCAAGGTAAGATAAGAAGATGACAATGTGGACTGGTCAACGAGCAGCCGCGTCGTATGAGTCACAGCCTGGTTGATCAGGTATCCTTTGGAGGTGTTATTAACTTCTCTTTTGAATACCGTGAGAAGCCAGCCAGTTATGCTCCTTATGTTTAGCGGGAGGCCCAGGTGTGCTCTCTCAAATGCACCTGTTGCACCTTTGCTTTTCAAAGGATTCTTTTTGTACATTCTGTCATGCCTCCTGGTCTCATGTGATGTTATTTCCGTGTGCAGATTTCGAACCAGTCCTTCTAATATTTTCCAAGTTTAGATTATAATGTATCTCTCCCGCCGGAGTCTCTTCTCCAGACTAATGTATCTCTAGAGTCTGGAGAATAGAGATTTACAAATTTTAGTCAGTGATGGAGGGCGAAGAGCGGAGGTCATTGCATTAATTAATCAGAAACTGGAAAGGTGAAGTTTGCGAGTTAATGCTCCACTTTCTAAGCATATCCACACATGTGAACACGTTGTTGTTGTTGTTGTTGATATTTATCTCCTCGGAACTAGCATTTCCATGTAGCACGGGCTATGGTGAACCCGTAATTGAGTTCGGTTATTCGTGATAACCTTGTTACTGTGATATTTGGGTCAAAGTTTTAAATGAAGATAGTTTCCTTCTTTTCACACTGGTTTTAGTCTTTTGTTTTAATAACATTGTCTTGGCGGCGGATATAGATGTACAGTGTTCACTAGTGTGTTCCATTCTTCAACTGCTCTTCTGACCATTGTAGTTGCTGTGGATTTTCCCTTTATGCAGCTGCTCTTATTGGTTGAATGTTGAGTTTGATGAGCAGGGCTTCAGTTGTTTTACCTTCCAGTAATGCAATGTGGCACTTCTGCATCTGTTCCATATATATGACACTTTTAACTATTGGGTTTACTACCTCCCAGCAGCACTTGTAACCAAGTCTGAGTCTGTGTATGGCTAATGTAATGTCTCTGGATATCTTTTTGCCAGACTTGAAAGAGTAGTACCCAGTGGCTTGTTCGTACCACATCGCGGTGGATCTTATTTCCGCTACTTTGGCTCTGTGGCGACTTTTGATAGTTGGGAGTATTTTCTTCTTGAATCTGTGAGAAACTTGGCGGCATTTTAACCTGTAAAACAGGTAGAGCAGTGGCAGTGTTTGCTAGTGAGTCTGCCTTTTCATTACCATCTATGTGACTTGGTATCCAATTTAGAGTGATGACCGCCCTAGATTGTGTGCTTCTTTTCATATATGTAGGATTTCAGTGATAAGTTTAATTTTATATATGTGCTGAGTGGATGCCTGAAGCGAAAATTTAAGAGTCGGTATGAATGAGGACATCTTGTAAATTGTTGTCAATTGCATAATTTATAGCTTTTTTAAGGCATATAACTCGGGTTGCAATGTTGAGGACCCACTATTTATGCTCCAAGTAAGCATCATGGTTGATGGTGTAAACTGCTAACACCACTGCTAACACGCTTCCCAACACAACTCCATGCTTTTGAACACTACTCTTGACCACGATTATGAATGCACAACTATACATTATAATGCAACCACATATTTGAACATTCAACTGTACATTTGAATATTCAACCACACCTTTCAACACACATACACACACATACTTATGTCTGCATTACTGTGATATTCTATAATAACTATGTTACTATCTCACGATAATTTTGTGTAATATACATTACTACAAAAATACACACACACACACACACACACACACACACACACACACACACACACACACACACACACACATATATATATATATATATATATATATATATATATATATGAAAAATATATATCCATAGCATTTGTTCCGACTAGTTTCAAAGATAACAGTGTCTATTTTTGCACGCTAAATTCACTATTTATATTAAAGCTTCCCTTCTGAAATATTTGTTAGAAATTTCCATATAAATTGTGCAGACTAAAATAGTCTGGATATAAGTCAGGATTTTAAGCCGCTCTCGGCGAGGTCTCTAGTAAATGAACCCACCACTCTTGGCCTCAGCCAGGGCCCTCGTTCTCAGACACAACCACAGGTGGTCGCTAGAGTCTAGGGTGGTCGCTAGTCTAGGGTGGTCGCTAGTCTAGGGTGGTCGCTAGAGTCTAGGGTGGTCGCTAGACCTTAAGATCATTGCCAAACCTAAATAAATTATTTTGAAACAAGAGAAACCTAAGATCGGGAGCTGGTCGGCCGAGCGGACAGCACGCTGGACTTGTGATCCTGTGGTCCTGGGTTCGATCCAGGGCGCCTGCGAGAAACAATGGGCAGAGTTTCTTTCACCTTATGCCCCTGTTACCTAGCAGTAAAATAGGTATCTGGGTGTTAGTCAGCTGTCACGGGCTGCTTCCTGGGGGTGGAGGCCTGGTCGAGGACCGGGCCGCGGGGACACTAAAGCCCCGAAATCATCTCAAGATAACCTCAAGATAACCTAAGGACTGTCAGCTTCCTATTTCATAATTAGTGTGGCGATCCTGAGGGACAACAGCTGCTCAACACTTGGTTCCAGCTCCACTTGTCCCCAATTAATATATATAACTGGGGATAAACTGCCACGGCTGAGTGAACAGCGCTTGGGGTTCGAAGTCCCTAGGGTCCGGGTTCGATCCCCGGCGGAGGCAAAAACAAAATGGGCAGAGTTTCTCTCACCCTGATGCACCTGATCACCTAGCAGTTAATAGGTATCTGAGAGTTAGACATGGTACCGTTACCTGCTACGGGCTGCTTCCTGGGGATGTGTGTGTGTGTGTGTGTGTGTGTGTGTGTGTGTGTGTGTGTGTGTGTGTGTGTGTGTGTGTGTGTGTGTGTAAATTAGGATTAAGGACTTGCCCAAAACATTATGCGTGCTAGTGGCTGTACAAGAAAGTAAGAACTCTTGTATATATATAAAAAAAAATAATAATATATATATATATATATATATATATATATATATATATATATATATATATATATATATATATATATTATATATCGTTCTCAGATACAACCACAACTATATATATATATATATATATATATATATATATATATATATATATATATATATTATGACAGAGAGAGAGAGAGAGAGAGAGAGAGAGAGAGAGAGAGAGAGAGAGAGAGAGAGAGAGAGAGAGAGAGAGAGAGAGAGAGAGACAGAGACAGAGAGAGAGACAGAGAGAGAGACAGAGAGAGAGAGAGAGAGAGAGAGAGAGAGAGAGAGAGAGAGAGAGAGAGAGAGAGAGAGAGAGAGAGAGAGAGAGAGAGAGAGAGAGAGAGAGAGAGAGAGAGAGAGAGAGAGAGAGAGAGACAGAGAGAGAGAGAGACAGAGAGAGAGAGAGACAGAGAGAGAGAGAGAGAGAGAGAGAGAGAGAGAGAGAGAGAGAGAGAGAGAGAGAGAGAGAGAGAGAGAGAGAGAGAGAGAGAGAGAGAGAGAGACAGAGAGAGAGACAGAGAGAGAGAGACAGAGAGAGAGAGAGAGAGAGAGACAGAGAGAGAGACAGAGAGAGACAGAGAGAGACAGAGAGAGAGACAGAGAGAGACAGAGAGAGAGAACACAGGATTAAAATGAGCAAGACAAAGGAAGAAGGAAAAATAAGATTAACGAAGAATCTCAACAGAGAGAGGAGAGGTGATCAAATAACAATAACCTCCATCACCAACGTAACAAAGACAACTGTATCATAACTAATAATAACTGAATGACCAATCACCTCGTCCTCACACTAACTAAATATACAACAATTTAAACGCCATCAACACTAGCGTTAAAACTGCCACGAATTAATAAAATTAAAATCCCACAATTGGTGTGGCTAGGTAGGACGGGTGCTCTAGATTAGTATGCACATGGTTTGACAAAATAATGTTATATTAGACGCTCATCAAATCGTGAGAATGCGTTTGCTCACTGACTAATAACCTGTTTCCTAAGCTCCACATCCCAGCCAATGAAAGGCCAGTCACGGTGTTATGGCTGAACCAGGTGATTGGGGGAGTACACAACTCCTGGACCGGCGTAACAGCGCCTCGATCGAAGTAATCCTTTTCCTAACTCACTCTGCAAACTTGACAAGGAAGTAGCGTCCTCGATACGCCACTTTGTTGCACTTAACACAATGGCCAGTAATGAAAAACTTCCCCCTCGTCTATATACTTGATATACTATTAACAGGCCAATGACCCAATTACGCTGGGCTGACACGGTATAATTACGTACTACTACTAATTAAGGCAAAACACTGGTAAGTGTTGTTTCCAGTGAATAGGTCCAGCAAGAGCGACCTACGTCGACCCCCACATATTACCAGACCACACCAACAGCACTGGGGGCCCCTTCAAAGGGCCCCTTCAAAGGGCCCCTTCAACGGGCCCCTTCAACGGGGCCCTTCAACGGGCCCCTTCAACGGGCCCCTTCAACGGGCCCCTTCATACCCTTCAAGGTATGCCAGGAGACCGAGTCAATCCTCATGCTCAGCTGCGTGACAGCTGTATATAATAAGATCACCTGCAGGCAAGGTAGCTTGTTGTATCCCAGATGGTCATCTGTATATCAAATGATTGGTTAAATCTTAGAGGTAGTTATATGCCAAAGGGACAGTTGCATACCCTTTGACCAGCTGTATGGCAAATATACCAGTAGATGCCAAGTAGACACCTGTAGATTCACAGCACATGCCCTCGCCCTCCCCCATAATATAACCATCACAACCCAACCCTTTCCACACCTCACACCAGTGTGGAAGTACCACACACACCACTGGCAAGAGCGACCCCCGCTCGTGCTCAAGTCAGTACGCTCTATACTGGTGTGGCGGCAGTACCCACACCAGTACCAGTGGTCTGGTACCACTACTACCACACCACTGGTAAATATAAAACTACCCTAATAGCGGCTACCTACAGCTTCCGATTAAAACAAAAAATGGGTTTTATGAAAAATTATAGATTCAATACCGAGACGTGCCAGACCGGTTAATGTGATCTACCAAAAACATGGTTATTAAGTAGATGATTGAGTTGAGGTTGCCACAACAGTCTGAGAGAACACTACATCCTGCCTTGTGGCACTCTGAGGGGTTACTTGCCCTGCGAATGTCACTGACCTGACATCCTAGTTACGCCCTGCTTGCTTGATACCCGATTGATGGGGTTCTGGGAGTTGTTCTACTCCCCAAGCCCGGCCCGAGGCCAGGCTTGACTTGTGAGAGCTTGGTCCACCAGGCTGTTGCTTGGAGCGGCCCGCAGGCCCACATACCCATCACAGCTCGGTTGGTCCGGCACTTTTTTAGAAAACAATCTAGTTTTCTTTTGAAGATGTCCACGGTTGTTCCGGCAATATTTCTTATACTCGCTGGGAGGATGTTGAACAACCGCGGACCTCTGATGTTTATACAGTGTTCTCTGATTGTGCCTATGGCACCTCTGCTCTTCACTGGTCATATTCTACATTTTCTTACACATCGTTCACTCCAGTACGTTGTTATTTTACTGTGTAGATTAGGGACCTGTCTCTCCAGTATTTTTCATGTGTATATTATTTGGTATATCTCTCGTCTCCTTTCTAGTGAGTATATTTGGAGAGCTTTGAGACGATCCCAATAATTTAGGTGCTTTATCGCGTCTATGGATGCCGTATATGTTCTCTGTATTCCCTATATTTCGGCAATCTCTCCTGCTCTGAAGGGGGAAGCGAGTACTGAGCAGTACTCGAGACGGGACAGCACCCCGACGGCCCTGAACAGTCAGGCTGTTGGTGCCGATTACAAACATAACCTAATACAGTTGTACTCGTATAAGGCACAAGTACATTATATGAAACAATACTCTGTATAAGACAGCCGTATTAGGTAAAGTAAGTAATTATCAAAAGAAGGCACCAAACCGGGAAGGCTACGTAGCACCATCAAATGCGCAAAATAATCAGAGGGCGCTAAATATCACCAAGGATGCCAATACGAGAACAAAAACGCATAAGGCGAACGATATCAAAAGTATCCGAGTCACCAAGAATTCTATCGAGGGACAGGTGACCGCGAGGGGCGGTCGGAAAGCAAGACACACGCTCGTCCTGGAAGTCAGGACATTCAAGAAGGACATGCACGACCGTAAGAGGGACAATGCAACTAGGACAATAAGGAGCAGGGCGGCGCTCCATCAAGTAACCATGGGTTAAGCGAGTATGGCCAATACGCAACCTCGCCAGAGCTGTTTCCCACCGCCGGTTACGGTGGAAGGAGGACGGCCACGAGGAAACACAACATTTAAGAGTACGTATTAGGTAAAGTGAACATCACCTGAAGGAACAAAGAAGTAAACGCTAAGAAAACAACATCCGCCCCTTCTCATACCAAAAGTGAATAGTTCAGCACCAGTAATCAACCATTATCACGAATGGTCGTTAAAACCGCTTCCAATACACCATTAACACTTTCAATAAAACCCTGCAAGCTCTTACAACAATACGAAACCCTTCGGTGAGTCCTTAACATAATAGTCAGACCAACGTAAGTCCTTAAACACCACTGAACCCTCCCACTGCTGCCAATACTAAGACAACAGTTGTCTTAAACCCCCCCCCCAGTGTAAGACTCCAATAACACCATGTTCAACCCCACACAGTCCGTCCCTCCGCTTAAAATATTTAGTAAAGAATAAATTGTGGGCGCATGAGCTGGGAGGTAATCGCCTTACCCTCGCCCACCTCTCAGTAATTCCTGGGAATCTACCAGCCCGCCTCCTTACTCATGCCCGACATCACACCACTATTACACGCCCACAGAATACATACATACATTAATGCTTACATACGTGCACATATAGATACATTAATGCTTACATACGTGCACATATACATACATTAATGCTTACATACGTGCACATATACATACATTAATGATTACATACGTGCACATATACATACATTAATGCTTACATACGTGCACATATACATACATTAATGCTTACATACGTGCACATATACATTAATGCTTACATACGTGCACGTATACATACATTAATGCTTACATGCGTGCACATATACATACATTAATGCTTACATACGTGCACATATACATACATTAATGATTACATACGTGCACATATACATTAATGCTTACATACGTGCACATATACATACATTAATGCTTACATACGTGCACATATACATTAATGCTTACATACATGCACGTATACATACATTAATGCTTACATGCGTGCACATATACATTAATGCTTACATACGTGCACATATACATTAATGCTTACATACGTGCACATATACATACATTAATGCTTACATACGTGCACATACACATACATTAATGCTTACATACGTGCACATACACATACATTAATGCTTACATACGTGCACATACACATACATTAATGCTTACATACGTGCACATATACATACATTAATGCTTACATACGTGCACATATACATACATTAATGCTTACATACGTGCACATATACATACATTAATGCTTACATACGTGCACATATACATACATTAATGCTTACATACGTGCACATATACATACATTAATGCTTACATACGTGCACATATACATACATTAATGCTTACATACTTGCACATATACATACATTAATGCTTACATACGTGCACATATACATTAATGCTTACATACGTGCACATATACATACATTAATGCTTTCATACGTGCACATATACATACACACACATGCATACATATACATACACATGCACACAATTACATATACATTAATCGTTAGAGCAGTAGCGAGAGCAATATTCTGGCCGATAACAATACTGATAAGGTGAGGCTTAGGAGAGATGGGAGAGAGAGAGGTGTAGGCCTGGCAGCTCACACGCCATCTCATGTACCCGCTCCTAACACAAACTTCTGGCCTCATATTACACACACTGTAACAGTAGGTCGATACGTCACACATCTCTAATTTGCATGCGCACACTGATATAAACACGCACTGCGCACATATACACATGTACACTTACAAGTGCGCACACACGCAGCCGATAGAGTAGAATATACTTGAAGGAGAGACCGTGGCAACTAGCTTCATGCTTTACCTCAAGAGTACTAGAAGTACTAGAGTACTAGAGTACTAGAAGTACTAGAGTACTAGAGTTACCATAGAGTACTAGTATATTTATAACCACGTAACATGAGTACGAGGAGGAGCCCAAGAGCTAGATGACGCTCCCTTAAGACACAGGTAGAGGCATACTGAAGTACGAGGAGAGTCTGAAGAAAGTAAACCTCACGCAGGAAAATTAAAGACAAGAGACATGATCACGGCATATAAGATTCATAGAGGTATTGATATTTGTTGACAGAACCGTAACATTTAGCATGAACAGAGGCAATACGAAAGGGCGTTAGTGGATAACTAAAAATTCACATATGATATAGGGATGAAATTAAGTGTGTTTTCATTTTAAGAAGAGGGTAACCGCTAATTCCATAGTCCCTCACTGTAAGTATAGTGAGGGAATGGAATGGACTACAGAGACGGAGTAGAAGCTCCTGTTTGCCTAATTATAAAATAAAATGACTGCACCTCAAGGCAACACAGCTCACAAGTTTCTTTAACATACACCGACCTTCGAGACGAACTTAAGTTCTCTTTATCTGGCCCAGACACTAATCAATACATCTGTGGCTTCCTTGTAATATCGTGATTAATAAATGAACAACTGGCTCGCTTGTCTACTTACTCCTGGTCTCCAACCCGTTCTCGCACTTGCTTCTTGTCAATATTGGCTTATTTAATAAGTGCATATGTGACATACTAATTGATTACCTCACCTTCCTCAACCGCGATGGTCACATGCAGACCGAAGCGTCTCAATCTGTTTAATGTTATACTGTATAGCGTAGTAAGAGAACGCGTTACTCCTATACTCACAGTTACGAGCTATTGAACATGCAACTTATACTTATTTTATGACTGCCAATATAGCGCAGTTATGATCTGAACTTATGAACAATAACTGGATGTTCACTAACCTCATAAAACCAGCCGCTTGACCTGAATATTAACGAGTGTCCCACAGCGAGCAGGTGACAAGGAGACAGAGGGTCACGTCCCTCTGGATCCTGTAGATGATAACCTCCTAACTTACAGCAGTCTTCAAGACGCCTCTATAGTTCTTCCCGTCATCTCCGCCATTCGTCCTCACCACTCAACCTCCCGTCACGTGTGTAGCGAACACCCTCAACACTCAAGTGTGGAGTGACTGGCCCAGTACCTCACCTGCTGCCTCCTTAGGCTCCGCGGCCTCTCCTCCCTCCTTCCCACACTCTCTGATGCTATTTATACCAGTCTCCCTCTTCATTTTTCATTCACGATTTCTTCGTCACTCTTTCCTCTTTTCTTTCTCCCTTCCATCCCTTAATCACCACCACTTCTCTCTCTCTCTCTCCCGCAATCCTCCACCTCCTCTTCTTCTTCAGCCCATCTTCCCGTTTTGGTAGTACTTATAGGAAGGATGAGGACCATAGTACATATACCGACATACAACACAATTAGAGAGCATAAATCAGTACTATTGAGTTTGGACAAACAAGAAGAGATTTTATATGTTGCAAAGACAACCTAACATTCTTAAGCCTAATACACGTTATCTGAGGACTAATATAGTACATGTATGTGCTATACTAGGCCTAGGAATATTTAACTTTATAT